TTACAGCTAACTGGCTGGCTGGGTGTCCATCAAAGGGAGCTACCCCCCCTTTATTTATCATACCCTGTGCCCCCCGGCGCCGATTCCAGCATCACGTTGGTCATTGTCTGTCATGTGTTGAAGCTCAGCTGGCTCCAGGCTTCCTGCAATGGGGTAAAGTGACCTCGACTTTCTCATCATCACTGACTTGGCAGGTGAAATCCTGGAGGACAGTCCCTGCTCTGGGCCAGAAGAGCTGCACATGCTCGCTGCTCCCCTGCCGCATGTTCGCTGCTCCCTCACTACATGTCTGCTGTCTGAACCCCCATGTAAGGGGGCTGTCTACATTTTTGGCAGCTGCAGCTCTGGAGTGTAGCAGCCGGTCCCCCCTCGGGCCCCCTCCCACAATATTTCCTCTTGCAAGGGTTGCTCAGCACAAGAACCCACATTTCATTAGTGATGCAATGCAATCCTCTCTGCTGGGCAGGCCCAGAGCCTTTCCAATTAACATTTCGTTACTGATCAGGCTCCATTAAGTCTCTGGTTCCCACAGCTCAGCCCAGGGCCCTGTCCTGGTGTCGGTGGGTTATAAATACACCTCTACCTCGATATAACGCTGTCCTCGGGAGCCAAAAAATCTTACCGCGTTATAGGTAAAACCACGTTATATTGAACTTGCTTTGATCCACCGGAGCGCTGCTTTACCGCGTTATATCCGAATTCGTGTTATATTGGGTCGCGTTATATCGAGGTAGAGCTGTATTCATATGGGTAAACCTGGTTTGGGAGATGCTTTTATTAGCAACACTAATGAAGCCCTTGGTAAAGTCCTGGCTTGTTGTATGACGTGCTGGCCTGATGAGGCGCCATCCACTTTCTCCTCCTCTGCAGGCACAGGCATGAGAGGAGCTTTCAGAGCCCTTGCTGGAGCTGGGCCTGGTGTGGCTAAGCCAACACTGCCAGAACTCGGGGGTGTTGTCAGATGCTTTCGGTGTGGTGCTCTGCTCTGTCCAATGTTGATATCAATCGGCTGCGTGCGTGTGTTCCCTCTGTGTGCTGCCCCAGCTCTGCGCA